GGATGGTTAAATTTTCTTTTTCCTCGTCATTAAGGCTGACTTTAAGATGAAAATTGCAATATATTTATTAATTATTAAGAGAATTTTCATTTGTCTCTCTTACGTTAGAAAATTAGTAATGAATCACAGTTTGATTAAATATTAATGTTGCACTGTGGCGAATGGAATCGCCTTCTGTTCCTGTTGCCAAAATTCGAGATATGTTGCACAACTAACTTCTATTTAACTGAAAAATGTAAGTCTATTAAAAATTTTAACGACCCTAAGAATCTATTAAATGAACATATGTAATGAAGAGTACTATATTCCGAGATATAACTCCTTGTATCCAATTCAGTCAACTGACGTTTCGGAGGACTATGTCGCCTCCATCTTCAAGGTAGAAAAATAAATCAAACATGATACCAGTGTGAAAACAGCTGGCAACCACAACAGGAACTAACCGACGTTTGTGCTCTAATTTCTAACAGTTTCCACGCTGGCTCTTTGCTCGGATTATTTTTCGATCCTGAAGATGGAGACGATATGTTCCTCCGAAACGTCGTTATTGAACTTCAACGTATTACCCGGCGTGATATCCCAGAAGATAGTACTCCTCTTAAACACCTCCGTAAGGATCTCAAATCGAACATAAATAAGGTCCTTTTTTTTGTAAGATTTGTGCCTGTCTTGCTCTGAATCTCTTGTCACCCTTCCGCAAATAGGTTTCCAGGTGACAACAGTCATCATTCATCGGGCAACCAAATCATTAGGGAAGTTGTGTGCACGCACACACGCACACACACACACACATATATATATATATATATATTCTGTGCGTGTGTTAGCGCCTGTTTCTGCGAACCTACAAGATGTTATTTGTCGTGTGTGTGTGTGTGTGTGTGTGTGTACGCATGCGCGCGCGCGTGTGTGCATACTACCGAATTAATTTATACAAAGATAAGAATGTGACAGACAGAGGCTTAATGTGTATTGGCGTCTAAGCATTGAAGCATAAATAAACCTTAAAGAACAATGCTGACGAAACCAGCAAAATGGCTGTCTTTACTACATGAAGTGCCCCATGAAAGAGCGCTAGTCTTAGAAATGCTGTCCTCTCCTAAATTAAAATTCATCTTTTGGGTACTCTGAAGATGAAGGCACAAGTTTTTCTAGAACCTTTGTTCGAAACTTATTCCCCACGATAAAAAAAAAACGCTAGCTTCTCTCCTAACGCGCCCAGAAACGCTTATAGGTTTCCATGTAAACTGTATGTTATTTTTGGCCGATTATAACTGAAATTGTACTGAGTCGAGAAATTTAACTAAAATTCCCGAATATAAAATTTCGTGAAAATTCATTCAGTGGTTCCGATATATTACGTTCATTGCTAAGCTAATAGCCGCATTTTTGCAATTTTCATTGCGAGCGCGCAAGAAAGCATTATGTGTCCTATAAACAGGAGCGTAACAATTGTTTGCCGTGATTCAGCACATTATGTATGGCAGGACTATATGAGGTCGCGGAAATAAGTCCCATAGATCTACCCCTCCCACATCTCCATTTAGCTGTTACGCTTCCCCTTCCATTGTATTTCATTTTCCTCAATCATCTAGTCATTCTGTTCACACGAATGTTGTAATGAGAGTCTTCAAGAGTGACAAGCATTTTGGGCGGCTTGAAATATCTTAAACGGGGCTGGAGAGGAATACAACAGTATGCAAAACGAAGGGAGATTCAAGAGTCATTATCCCTACAAAGCATGGGACCTCTTTCCGTGTCCTCAGTATACTAAAGTACATTGAATTTTTAGAACAATGGAACTAGAGAGATCTAAAATTTCGTGAAAAGTGTTGGCTTTTTGAACATTAACCAACAACCTGATTTTTTTTACTAAAAACTTTTAGGATATTATATTAAAGCTTGTATTAATAATTTAATTTATGTTTATAACGAATTTTTGTTGTAAAAACCAAAACAATTACTTCCAAAATGTTAATTATTAATGTTAACTAATTATATTAAAACTTTTTCGAACGAGAAGGCTCAGATTTCGAAGTTTGCACAAATCCCACTTCCTATTCGGGACTAATTTGTAATAGGACATGTACGTAACTTAAAATGTCTCTGAAAAGGGGTTTACACGTTTTCTCAGCCCTTTTTTGGCAGTCCCTTGGAATAAACTGTGACAGATTTTTCTTGCTCGTCGGTCTTTCATATTCTAACAATTCATAAGCGTGCTTTCAAGTGACATATGTCATTGCATGACTAAGAGAAATGTCCAATATTAAATACAGACAAAAACAAATTTCAAAAGGCAGAAAGATTATCACGTCGACCTCACTATGCACTCTTTCTTTAAAGCAACGAGACACACATAAATGAAGCCTAAAAACAAGCACATACACTTACATTTACAAAGATACATTCTTCGTTACACATTACACATTTGATGAGAAACATTTATGGAGGTTAAATGGAAATACCTCCATGGCCACAAAGACGTGTTCTATTTTTAGCAGGTAAGAGTGCAAGAGTTTTATTTGCAGGTGTAAAATTTGTTCATGTTTGAGCTTCTTTTATTTTTATTTAGTTTAATCGTTTTGTAGGTGATTGATATTTTAAACCACTGATCACGAAAATATATCCTTTGAGAAGAGACTTACTCACTCACTCACGGAGCTGAGCCCTTCTTGAGACCAAGAGTTAGGTGGTGGACAATATTAAAATGGACCTTAGAGAGATAGGAAGGGATGGAATGGATTGGATTGATTTGGCTCAGGATAGGGATCAGTGGAAGGCTCTTGTGAACACTGTAATGAACCTTCGGGTTCCATAAAATGCTGGGAAATTCTTGAGAAGCTGCAGGATTGGCGGCTCCTCAAGAAGGGCTCAGTTCTGTGGGTGAGTAAGACAGTTGTGGGTACTGAAGGAGCCGAGACAGCCCATTCAATATAGTAACTGGACTACGAACAGGACAGCGGGAGATTGGGGGTTTGAATCCTGGGAGAAACAGTGATGTTTCTTTTCTGCACAGTATCCAGACCGCTACTAGAACTCAGTATCTCCTATCCAGAAGATACCAGGGGCTCCTTCCTTGGTGGTAGAGTGGTCATGGTCAAAGCAAAGAATTTGCAATATATCTCCACTGCTCCATACGCCTTCATAGCTTGCTGACTAATTAAGAACAAGGTGTATTTACAGTTACCTTTATGGGTATTAAATAAATCTTTAGATAAATAGTAACCCCAAATAATATGCAGTAAGTTCTGTTGTGAGCGCACACTCAGTCGAAAGTGTAGGATGTTATCCCATTTAGTTAGGACCGATCTATAAAGCACGAGTTTTCTGCAATGAAATACTGCAGCCCAAATTTGTAAACAGCGCATTGTCTAGAACATTCACTCTAGAATACAGTGGTTAGAAAGTCTGCAGACATATCTCGAAACGGAAAAGCACCCCAAAAACATTTCGCTGCCGATACAAATATTTAAAAATCATTACACCTATGTATAGAGTTAGAGCATATTCATAACAAGTTTTATTTTATAGTTATGTTGCGAATATCATCATGTAATATATTCCAGTACTGTAAATTTGTCTTTGTACTTAACTAATTAAGCACTATGTCATGAAGGCGTATGGTGGAGTGGATGTATAGATCCATGATTTTTTGATCTCGCCACTAGTTGGAGGTGAGTGGTCAGCTTCGGTAGTTTTTATTATTAGATTAATGAGAAGTAAGTTCTGAATGTAAAAATTATTCTTTATTTCAAATAAATTTTTCTTTTAACCAGAAAAGTATCATAATTAATTTTGCAGATTTTCGGCTTGTGTAATGACAGAACTTAATGAGATTGTAGCAGGAGAAAAAATTCATGACAAACGCAGTAATCTTGCAATGACCGACCGGAACACGCGGGGGAGACGACCTCCATTATTTCAGGGCGTTCATGTGCTAGTTTCTCGGTACAAATTTGCAAATTTACGATTAGACTCGCTGTGTGTGGGCTTCATAAATATTCTACATTATGATTGTGTCATTAGTGGAATCCTTCATATAGATATGGCTGGTTCCTGTTCCTGTTAGCGATCATGACACTCAGTTTTAAACGTAAGTAAAAGTAAAGTAAAGCTATCCCTGTACCAGGCCGTGAAGGCCCATAGGGTTGTGAGATGTTGAGGCTCCCACATTTTCTAGACAATCGGTTCCCAATGAAAATTATTTAATTAATTCCTGGTACTCATTTCTGTTAGAGGCTGAGTAAACCCCAGGGCCTAGTGCGGCTGGAAGGATTAGGTCAATTGAAAAAATCCAATGACCTCATTGGGATTTGAACCCGCGACCTTCCAACTTGTAGCATAGTCCCTCAACCAACTATGCTACCGCGTGCCCCCTCAGTTTTAAACGTGCAAAAAAAAAATAGTTCCGCATTGTTTTATATGTGTCACACATGTGAGCATATGATGGTCAGGATGCAGGAAGTAGCATCTCTTTCAGTGACAGACACAGAAGTACCAGTCTCCTTGTGTTAATGTGGCAACCCCCGTTCCTTTCAGGTGCATTCGTTTCGCATGAGCATGCCCACTAACAAGAAATCCTATTGGGTTCTCCAAGAACAAATCGCTACCCTCTTCAGTTTCAATAATTTTATTAATGAGATATTTTACAAGAACATCGAATTACGGGAAGAGAAATTAAAATTCTTTTTAATATACTTTACACACACGGATTTCTTTTGTCTTAGCAGTTACGAATCGAGAAATTTCCTAACCAAAGTACAAATTACCATGATGACGCCAGGACAGTGGAAGAAATTGGGAAAAAAGTAGGAATGAGTATATGAAGTCGAAAATGATGGACCCCCCGGTAATATCAAACGAAGATGAAGTAGGCAGTGTACGGGAAAGTTGTTGCTGTGCTCAACTAATTGAACACTACGCCATGAAGGCGTATGGTGGAGTGGATGTGTAGACCCATATAGTCTTGGTCTCGGTATTAATTGGAGGCGAATGGCTACCTTCACGTTCCAGCCGCTTTAGCCCCAAGAAAAGAGCTCCCAGACCTCATTTGGTGATCCAAAGAACCGGTCTGGAATAAGAGAAAGAGAAGAAATAATTTGCACATACCAAGACTCGAACTCCGGCCCTTCTGCCGTCCAGCCCGTAGCCAGTAGCTATACCGACTGCGCTATCTCGGCTAGCACAAACGTGTAGACGAATTAGAATTTATTTCAAATTAAAATATGTGAAAATGAGAAATAATAATTATATTCATATCCCATTTCCTACCTCCAGCAACATAAAATAATGGACTTTATTAATAAACTAAATAACAAAAAATTACTTTTTTTTTCATGCCAGCGCAGGCTGCAATAGATAAAATAATACTTTAAAAATATTTATAACACTAAAATAATTTTTATCATTCTGCGCATTTCTCTGTGATTTTACTCAGTGGATGAGATGAGATAATAGTGAGGTCTTGCTACACGTAAATTTTGCAGGTCGCTAAGAACTGCATCGCCACTGTCCGTGTATCTCAGGGACAGATCCCTCCCCTGATCAGGGATCACTCGTCTCAACAAATTGAGACGCCGTCAACGAAAGATGTAGGTGGTTTCTGTTCGTCCATGAGAGGTTGTACGTGTATTATTTTAGTTAGTTATTTATTGGAGAGGGTGGGTTTCCCCATGCACTGAGACCTGTATTGGTCCATTGTGCTTCCCTCTATGATTTCTACCAGTCTCTATATCCTACCGGTACTGGTGCTTACCATCAGTCCCGCCCAGCCAGCGAGACCGGCTCTACTAGCTGAGAGGTATCTATAATGCTTCCCCCATCTACCAGAGGTATTAGAGACTGTTGTTGGGTGGGAAACGTCCGTTAATTTGGCTCAGTGACCTCCTTTGGAGATATGAGGTTCTTTTAGTGCCGTAAAGCTACGACACGGGACCCACGGCTTAAAGTCCCTCCCGGAGGACTTGTTCCCTGAATTTTTCCGCCCTTAAAAATTCGACGACCTCCGCCGGGTATTTGAACCCGCGTACTACGAGTCATGAGGTGGGAACGTTACCTCTAGACTACGGAGGCCGCTGTATTATTTTAGTAACTGTAATATTGTAGTTTTCTAATAAATTAATATGGGAGAAACGGTTCCTTTGCTGAAGATATTCTTTTGTCCACTTTTTGATTTATTTTTCTTAAGTTTAGAGCAAAACACCCTGCAATGGCTGCTGATAACACTTTTTTTTAATTCGCTTAGTGAGGGGGTGGAGTCCAACTGGGTCCACTCGGCACGGTGGCCACTGATTGGCTTATTGTAGCCTGCCCCGGGTGATTATGATGATGCAGAATTTGGTGGAATGAAGATTGGCAGGAGAAACCGAAGTACTCGGAGAAACCCCGCCCCAACGCCACTTTATCCACCACAAATCCCATTGACCAGACCCGGGATCGAAGCCGGGCCGCCGTGGTGGGAAGCCAGCGACTAACCGCTTGAGCAATGACGCGGCCCATGCTGATAACATTACTCAACCGACAATACTTTGACGTATTCGTACAAAGTAAGCTACCTGGTTGTATGTGTGCCCCTAGTTCAGTTACAACTGGACAATCCTGCCCTGTGCAATTTAAACTGAGAAAAAGCCTGATTATGAGTTGTGTCTCAAATGTGCGTGTTATAAACTTCGTCCTAGATTTTTATGAACTCAAACAATGCCCCAAAATAACACTTTTGAGCAGCATTTACTATCTAGGCAGGCTCTGAGATCCGAAATAAATTGTCTTTGCTGAATATTTACAAGCTCGAAAAGACTTTAAACACCAGTTTTATAACACTAACACGTTTGCAAATTTATGGCACCGGACGGTAAATGGAGGAATATAGTTTAGATAAATGATCATAAACTAACTGGAAACTCAGATAAGTCGGCAATGCATTATGCAATACTCTCCCATCGCTTTGTCTGTCCTCCAAGTGGTCGCTTTTCAGATCTCGCTGTCATATTTCTTCATGCATATCCAGTCTCCCTACCATGCTGCATGTCTAGCCTATGTTACAATGCATGATTTAATTGCCTTAGTGACAGCAGCTCATCTGTACAAATAACAATGATTTCTCGTTTTCAAATATCGTCAGTCTCTGCTTTATTTATTTCTAGATCGGCGTTGAATGATTTACGTTCTTACTTCAGAATAAAAAAACCCTAGTGTTCATATATTAATAATATATTCAATATTCCATGATTTGTATAGTTTTTGCGCATAGACTCTGAAGACTAAAGGAACGGTTCTAATAAAATTTAGATTACGTTTGTATAATTTGTAATTGTTAAAAAAGAACAATAGATCAGAAATTGGTAAGTAGTCCAGTCGTGGAGAGGACGTGGGCAATGTGGCCCCCACAGACAACAGCTGAACATTCTTGCAGTTCAAAAGAGGAAATAACAGACCCGAAAACCTGATCAAAGATTGGATATGGAACTCAATACTGCATAAAGCATATCATCCGAAACTGAAGCATGGCTATAGATATTTATGTTCACGCGAATAAGTCGTTCAGTAACTCGATATGAATACATTAGTCTTTGAAGGTCCAGCAGGTGTTGGAGGAAAGGTAGAGTCTCTATCTCTTCAATGGTCAAAACTCAGTGGACCTTCTGGCAACAATTACGTTTTACAGACACCTGCAAATGGAAGAGAAATACTGCTGTCACATTAAAAATTAAACGTCTACGTAATAAAATTTCTTATGTTATCAAAATTCCTTTTTGTAATGCCAGCACTGTTGATGTTTATTTATTTTGAAACTGATAAACATTAAATAACAATTGTCACAATTGTGTAACAATAAAATGGTGTCGGATGATAAGTCACGTGTCTTCCGAACAGAACATGAACTTTTGAAGAGTGTCTCAGTTTATCTTCCGAAAAAGCCTTAGTGTATTCAGCCGCCTTCATACACGTATCTTCAGATTTTAGGCAAATTGATATTATCTGTGATCGGGATAATATAGGCGGTATAGCGACTGGCTACGGGCTGTACAACCAAGGGGTTAGAGTTCGAGTACCGGTAGGGACAAGAATTTTCTCTTCTCCTCGTCCTCCAGACCGGCTCTGGGGTCCACCCAACCTCATATCGAATGGGTACCGGAGGTTCTTTCCCCCCCGGGGATAAAGCGGCCGGGGCGTGATACTGACCACTCATCTCCAGTTAGTGCCGAGATCAAGAAAATATGGATCTATACACCAACTCTCCCATACGCCTTCATGGTGTAGTGCTTACTTAGTTAAGCACGGGACAACTTTAACTTTTATGATCATCATAGCCGAATTTAAATAACGTTTTGAATGCAGCTACATGATATCACAAATTTTCTGATGCTCCATTTTCTAAGAATCGCTTTATACAAATTTAATCTGAAACAACAGAAGGTCTAAATCTACACGTTTCCGTTTCCCCTAGAAGCTCAATGTTAACTCCATGGAACAGAGCCCTTCTTGAGAAGCTGATGGTCTCAGCCAGTAGAATATTTCTTGCTCTCTATACGACTCTGACGTGCATTACAGCGTTCATTAAGTCTCACCAATAGCCCATATACTGAGTCATTAAAATCCAGGTCATGCTCTGTCGCTATAATTATTTTATATCAATTTCTATATTATCCTCCACCTATGTCAAATTTTCCGAAGTGCATATTCCTTCCAAATTTTCCACCTGAAATTTTGTACGTATTTCCTGCTTAATTCCATACCTATCCCATCTCACTTGATATTCTGTCTAATAATATCCTGTCTGGTTAAGAGATAACATTGTGTATATTTGTAAGCACTAAAGGAAACAATTGCCAGTCACGGTAGCCGAGCGGTCTAAGGCATGTACTGTCTTCGCTTGCTTGGAAACCGGGATCGTGCGTTCGAATCCTACTCAGGGCATGGATGTTTAGTTTGTGTGTGTGCGTTTTTCTGTGTTTGTGTACAGGTAGAGGGCTTGCGACGAGCTGATCACCCGCCCAAGGAGTCCTACCGTATGTGTAAGATCTAGAAAAACCGAAGTGAACGGAGAAGTTCATGGAGGTAGGCCTAGTTCCACTGGGGCTGTAGTGCCAAGGGGAAAAAAGGGAAACAATTTATTTGCTTCGCAAAGATCCTACTGGCTGTATGTATATGTCAACGATACCGAGACCGATGTAAACACAGTAAATGAAATGTTATCTTTCTGAATTACTAAGAATTAATATTGATCAAAAAGGCACAGCCAAAACAAAATTTCAATTACCATGAACTTCCTGTCATCATCATAATTATATTCGATAAATGCAGGCCATGCCTATACTGACCATTTGATACGCCTCGTACAGTTTAAGGCTAATCCTTCTTAATCGAAATATAATTCTTCTTAGTAATTGTCGAGATAATATATACTAATTTAAATAAGCTTACTGCCAATTAAATATTTTTTGACATAAACACTTTTATGCCCACTATTAAAATGTGGCTTAACTATGTATTATACAAGTGTAGCAATATCCGGCAAATGTCCCTTCTTCTCTTGTGACTGCATTTTTATGAAATTTAGAAATCGCGAATTTTATGTAATTTGGAAGCCTACTTATATTTTCTGGAAGCGTAAAACGGTCATTTTTCTATTGGGCGGCATAAAATAAATTTTGTTATCAATGATGTATGATATTTAAAAATCGAGTTTTATTGTAGTTACATCAATTTAAATTATTTTTAAATCTTGAACAAATAGAAAACGGTGGCCTCCACGTAACTGAATGAATACCACTCCTAGTATTTGCATACTAGTGGCGGGTTGCGGTGACGGCAGCAATCAGGGTCGACTGTTTGCAATTGGATTCACAATTATTATGGAAGAACAGACACAGGCTAATTATGCAATATAATTTTCCAATAGGTGAAAATCTTTTATCTGCAAAGAAGATGAATCACACGTGGGAAGTCGGGTTTTTAAATTGTGTAATTCAGCCTTCAAATCCGTATATTTATTTATACAAATATATGATTCCGTAATTTGTATTAATTAATCATAATTTTAATTATATAAATCACAAACTTATTGAGTCAATTCATGTGATATAAGAGACTAAACTACAGCACATTAAAAAATGTCTATAATAGCTTATGTATACTAAACGTTTACAATTTTATCAGTTCCTTAAATACTGTCAATGTCACACCGTGACCCTGCGAGTCGTAGGAGGCGACGAAAAGGGAAGTCTCAAATTTGAGACAGTAATATATGGTCTCGTTTACCAAGGGGCTCAGAGCCGAGAAAGACTGCGCTGGCAAGGGTCAGCAGCATATACAAAAGACAGACCCGTCCTCTCGTCAGAGAGGGCGCCCCACAAAAAGAAGACAGTAACTTTCAAACAGTAATATATATCTGATCATGAGACCCAGGAGGGTACTCGACACCAAGACTGACTGACTGACTGGCCGTCAGTCGCAATGTGACTTTCACTATTCGATTACAGGCACGCAAATTCGAATGAAAGGTCTCAGAATTTAGATTGCTCACGTTTAATAGCAATAACAATGAAAATTTATTGTTCCGGGATAACAAAGAAAATGTGGACATTTTAATTAAACGAGAGGTAACATTAATCCATTATTATTATTATTATTATTATTATTATTATAAATTCCGGAATATTTCTTTAATAAATTAAGTTAGGATAACGAAATTTTATGATAAGGGACTGTAATATGAATATTATGAGAGTGACATACCTGAATGTTTCACGTATGACGGGCACAGACGGTATATAATTACTATCTTACTATCGGTAGCCATATCAGAAAACTTGGAGCGACCTAATTTAATATTTTGGTCTCATTTAATAATTTCTTATTTACTATACGTTACTATATGTAAGATGATTACAGAGTTAGAAAATCTACCTTTCTTATTGTCACTTCCCGCTCAGCACAAATATACAGTTTCACTGTAACATTTCATGTCGCCTTGCGGTTAGAAACAACAGCATAAGCCTCTTCTTCAATCACGAATTGGATTTTTTTGAGATTCACAATTCATTCGAGAAAAACTGAATCCTTTAGACATATGGCAGGACTCCACGGACATTAAAACGAGTTAACACAATGAATCTCCTGCAAAGAACAACACAACAGAGGAAAACACCGTCATACTGCGTGCCTCAACGGGTTATGAACCCGCAATCCCGATATATATATAATATATAAGGCCGTTCAATATTCCGAACTACTTTCGGCGATTCAAAGTTACGGAAAATATTCTGAATATACTTGATGATTCAAGAAGAACACAAAAGACCAGTCGCTGAAAATGCTAATGCTTATTGACGTACTTCTGTGAAACTGTAATATGACAATAGGTTTAGTGATTTAAGGGAGCATGGAACTTCACCATTATTAAGCCAATTGCTCCAAATTTCCGTTGATGTAGCTCTATACGTTTTCAAGGAGGAAAAAAGAACAAACAAAGAAAAGTGAAACGCAAAGGATCATGGGAAAAGCCGTATCCTTGCCCGGCCAGTAGTCTGAAAGCTATCAACATGGTCGCGTGTAGACGCACACATGAACACACATACTTGTAACCTAGATCCAGGCAGGTCCTGCCTCCACTACGGTCAGTAGAGCGTTCCAGAATTGTTACACACACCGACACTTCGCGTGGGGATTCACAGCACCGGGCAACTTCTTCTTTCTCCAAGGATGTGCACAAACACCACCGTAACCTAGCTAGCATTGTACTCAACAACTTTTGCTGGGGAAGAACTTTTAGTGAAAACCAAGGCAGAAAGCATCAGGGGTCTGCGCGGAGAACACCAAGCAAACCAGCGTATACAAGAGCCTCTCATCCGGACACCAACCAATAAATATTAAACGGGAACAAACAAATGGTCTTTTCTTTCCTGTCTCACTCTCTCTCCTTATTAGTTGTCAGTTTGTTTCTATTTATCTTTCCTTCTCCGTCCTTTTCTCCGCCTTCATCACACAATCCACCTGTCCACCCCGCTCTCAACTGCATACATACAGAACAGTATGTGAGTTACAATCCCTAACCCAACAAACACACATCACTAAGAGTCCTTGCTTGACATCCAGTCATTCATCTTCGTCTGCTCGAGCCAGCCCGCCTGCTTGCCTGTCCGCCGTCCGATTCTGTATCATTTATTTCGGTCCCCGTTGCATCTGCTTTCTTTATTCTTTTCTGTCTTCCCTTCATCTTCTTTCCTCTCTTTAATTCTCACAGTAATTATATTCTTTTATATATTTTATGTAGGCCTGCATGTATATTATATATGTATTCGTTGCAATAGATTTATACATTGAAGAAAACAATAATGAAGTTATTCAAACTAGTCATCCAGTAGCCACAAGCAGGCGAAAGATAAGCACGAAATCAAAAGGATTTGTAGAAAAAGAAAATAGTAAAAATCATTAACGGAAACTGAGCCAAGGCTCGTAAATCTAATTGTCAAGAAAGACTGAGCACAGCTTGTTGCTGTTGCAAGCGGGGCAGGGAGGAACACCTCGCCGGCAGTCGACAGCCCAACTCCCGCCCGGTGGCTTCTTTCGCTTCCCCGCCTTACTCTTCTACCAAATTCAGCATAACCACTTATATCAGTTCCTGTATCTTCTTACAACCGCCCTCTGCCTTGACCCATACCGAAATCTCTTTTCCCTGTTTCATTTAAAAGTCGAATGCTTTAACAACAGACTGCATGTGGTCAAAAGATGAGTTTACCTGTGACAGAATATTTATTCTTGTGCTCAAGTGAATGGAATGAGAGAAGAGAGAGTTGGAGAAACCTGCCGAGGTGAAAAGAGTACTGAAATAGGATGGACACAATACCTCTACAGCAGAAACGGGAGACGGCTAACCGTTCAAGAAAAGGAAAGACAAGACGGGAGAAATAATCAGGACGACTTGGACCAATAAATAAAGCTCCTCTCCCTTACCCGCCTTCCCTCCGTTTCAAAATCTCTGACACCCTCAAAACCATCCCAAAAAAGATACAACACAGCATAAAAAAAAACAGCGGTAACAAAGAAGGTTATGTTGGGGGGAAGGGTGGAAACTCGGTTGCATAACTTTCGTTCTGTGGTCTGTTTCGGAATAAATCTGCAGGCTGCGTGAAGAGGAAGGGGGGATGCGAAAGAACCGTTTCAGCAGAACATGCATTTTCCCCTTTTCGGTGAGGAAAGCCAAACCATTTCTTTCAAGGTGAGATGCGTCAGTTTCCATGTAAATCTACAAAAATGGGCACTAAAATGTTGTACAACCCACATCCAAGTACATCCAGGAATTCGTATAAAACGAGCTCAGCTGAATTGTGGTACGATCAACGCCGGTGTCGACATCTATCTTCAGAAAGAAAGAGAGTTTGTCTCATGAGTTTCGCCACAAGTTCCACTAATAGGCTGACCCAGAACCGTGCTTAGGGAGAAGTAAAGATGTTCAGATCTCTCCAAAATACATCTGGCTATTGACAAAGAGCGAACTGACGGGAGATTGAAAGTGAAGGACAAGGATAATATGCAGGTAAACAAAAAACAAAACAAAACTCCGTTGCCTGTAGTCCTCAAGAGAACTATACCGACTGAGCGACCGCTGCTTGTCGGCGAAGTTAGTGCTAACTTTTGCGGATAGAGGGTGTCGCGTGGTCAGTGCAACGGATCTCCACGACCGTTAATCTCGGTTTTCTAGACCGTAGCCGCTATTTCCTTGAAATAGCTCCTCATTTATCCCCACGAGGTTTAGTGGACCCCGTTCCAGACGCACTACTTCTCAGAAAATCTGGTAGCCCCTAGAATCGACACCCGGGGCCTTTGGATCTGTAAACAGGAACTCTGACCACTAGAACAGAGAGGCGGCCAACAAACTAATTACTTGAATTAAAAGATAAAAATAATAATCTTATTTTCTTTCTTGATGGAATTCTATGGGCAAGAATTCGCAGCGCATAATTTTTCCTATCTACATGACAAACTCATTTTCACTGGTACAGCTCTTTTTCAAACAAGGCTACAGCAACCGAGTAATTTGCTGCAAGCAAGTTACGTCTTGTGCTGAGGAAACGCAATAGCCAAACGTTAGCTTAAGTTAAAGCTTAGATTTTAGGTTTTTTGTTTTCGATTTTTTTGGGATGTAGGCAGTCACGAATAGCCCGTGCAGCTGGGTCTAACGATCTGTCTCAACCAGATGTTGCCTGCCTGTGTAAGGCTACGTACATGCAAGAATGCGTTCACATATGAATGTTCTCGCTCTGAGTTCAGAATTGGAATATTCATTTTAAGGGAGCAATTTTCACTTTCGTAAGTTACTGTGCCTAACGGATGCAGTTTTATTCCTAGAAAATGTGGTAAACAGTTATGGCTGAGGCTAGTTGATGTAACGAGAGAGCCACAATAGGAATCTTCAGCTCCGTGAACCTCAAATATCATCATAATATTTCCGCCATTCTCCCATCTTCTGGAATTTCTGATGCCATTTACAATAGAGATGTGGAGTATGTTAAATATATGAAAGAGTAATTTCTATTTCACTGACTTTACACTACCCTTGGGCCCTGGCCTCTGATTTTTAGTTTCATGATCATTTTACAGACGGTAGGACTACTTGGACGAGTGATCAGCACGTCGCAAGGCCTGTACACAAACACAGAAAAACGCACACACACAAACTAAACATCCATGCCCTGAGTGGGATTCGAACCCACGATCCCGGCTTCCGAGCGAGCGAAGACAGTACATGCCTTAGACCGCTCGGCTACAGTGACCGGCATATGAAAGAGTAATATTAAACAAAAATTTGATTTATGACAAATTGAATTTCGGAGTAAATTCATTTTCTTATTCTTATTTCTCCTGTTTCAATCACCAAAAACTGATATCAATGAAGCTTATTTTTTAGGTTCACAATTGGTCAACTTCTGGAAAGTTTTTATTGTTCATTTCATAAGTACTGACAGTCCGATTAGTAAATTATATATTTTAGTCTAAAAACTATAACTTCTGCCTTTGTTTTATAAGAATTAAAAACATTTTGTCTTGTTTGGCGAAAAGAAAAAATTAAAAATGTTAACAAATCAATTCATTTTGGAGCTTAAGTAATTAAAGAACGGCGAACATTTAATCAAGAATAAATTATTGCTTTTATTCCCAATCAAGCCATGAAGGTTAGGAAGAGCTGGAAATGCAGTATGCATGAGGGCTGTCTCAAGAAATACGTCAATTTTAGAGTTACAGAGCAAATATCAGAATCGGTTTAATAAAAAATTTTCGCCATTTGAAATTTGATCTTAGCAAAATCATCTGGGACGACCACCAGCATCAAATCGAAATCGAAGTTCAAAGTTTATGGGACATTTTCATGTCTGTAATATCAAGGATAATGATAAAGATGGAGGCCGAAATTTCCTCCAAAATGTTGGATTTCGATTCTGAATTGGCTCGACTCCTTGTAGCATTCAAGTCCTACAAACACTGGGGCTTGTTTGCCAAATTTCATCACGTTAATTCGGGATAACCTGTAAGTCTTGAAATAGAAAAAAGTAATTCTAAACTATGTTCGCAACAAATTTTCTGCTTTGCAAAGCACATTTAACGGAGTGAGACCGTGGGTATGTACGGTGGCGCCACAGAGCGGCTTGGATTTCCCTCTGAATTTGAATCCCAATATCCATGAATATACAGGAAATAAAGCTATGTTGACATTGCTTCTAATTTCTGCATTTACCTATGTACTGGAGTCTTGAGAGAAAAAAGAAGGTAAAGTTTCCTTGTAACAGGCCTAGGAGCCCCATATGATTGTGAGACATCGACCCTCCGATTTTCTCTAGACAATCGGCTCACAGATGGCAGTGAGGTTGTCAGCCTTACGAGCCTGCCGCCCTTTACCCCCAAGAATATTCCTGATACTAAATTCTGTTAGAGGATGAGTCGACCCCAGGGCGATAGTGCGTGCAGCTGGAAGGATTAGGTAAACTGAAAAATCCACCTCATCGGGACTCGAACCCGCGACCTTCCGGCTTACAGCACAGTGCCTCAACCAACTACGCTACACATATCCCGATAAAATACTGATACTAGTTTCGCGGTTTGTGTAAAAAGGCTTTCAGCATCTCCGAGTATGAAACGACGAATAATAGGATAGGTGAATAACGAATTGAAAATCATGTAAAAGGAACTGATCATGGCATAAATAAACGAACTATCCGGGAATTGACCTGGAAGGACTGAGAAAGAACAAGAAAATATTCTTTCGGTGTATGCAGAGTACCAGTCGGGATTCGAACTGGATGTTTTCGCAGTATAATTCAGGGTCAAGTTGCTTCGTATAGTTCATAGGAGGGTAAGGCCGCGCCATAGCTCAAGAGGTTAATCGCTGGCTTCCCACAGCGACGGCCCGGGTTCAAATCCGGGTCTGGTCAAGTGGGATTTGTGGTGGTCAAAGTGATGCTAGGGTAGGTTTTCTCCGAATACTTCGGTTCCCCTACCAATCTTCATTCCATCAAATTCTCCATCATCGTAATCACCCGGGGCAGGTACAATAAGCCAATCAGTGGCCGCCATGCCGAGTGGACCCAGGTGGACTCCACCCCCACTAAGCGAATTTGAAAGAAGCTGTTGGGTAACTAACATTTTGGAGAAACATCTGTCTAGATAAGCTAATAGTTGCTCAATCAGTCATGAATTTCCCCACACTTTATGAGACCTGAAGGTTCGTTACCGTTATCACAAGAGTCAGTTGTGTGTATGGATGCTTTAATTAAAATAAATTAAAATGACTGGACTGGACTGGACTGGTTTTCAGGTAAGCTACTGCGCATAACATGAAGTTTCAGAGAATGCAAATGAAA